TAGCCAGATCTTTAAGGAGCTGCTTCCAAAAATTTTTTATTACTTAAAGTGTACACGAAGAAGATGAGTGGTGACTACAGCCCAAGGTTAGTCAATGTGTCTCCACCTTCCATGTTATTAACAAGAGGATGATGCTTGAAATAAGGTGTGTATATATTAGTGAGGCACCGGAAGAGGTTGCCCAAAGAGGCAGTGGCTGCCCCATCCCTGGAGACACACAGGGTCAAGCTGGAGGGGGCTCTGAGCACCTGATGGAGCTGTAGGTGTCCCTGTGCATTGCAGGGGAGTTGGACTAGATGGCCTTTAAGGCTCCCTTCCAACTCAAACGATTCTGTGGTTCTATGCTGTATGGTAACTTGAGCCATGGCCTGACCCACTGATTGAGCACCTGGGGAAAGAACCCGGGCTGCCCTGGGAGCACAGGTGAAGGCAATTCAGCTGTGTGACCAAAGGGGTGGAGCCTGGCTGCACCTCTCTTAGACCTCATTTAAGAGCCAACTGCCCTAGGAGGAGGATCTCTGGTTGGAGATCCTTCCTTGGGGAAGCTTTCCCCTGCAAACTTGGAATCTTCTGATAGAGGTGAGCAATCCTCTTCCTTTCCTTTATAATGCTTTTCTATTGTCCTTCCATCATCATACCTCTGTTGTGGCACCTTTTCCTCTTGTACTGATCTTTCAGATTGCTATATACACGTACTGTTTAGGATATATTCATGCCTTTATGTAAATAAATTATTGGAGCTTTAAAATATCATACAGTAGTCAAAATCAAAATGTGCCCAGCTCTCGTTTTCCCACTGGGGGTGCAGCAACCTAAAATGGAGTCAGTGAGCTTTTGTGGCACTGTTCAGAAGGCGTTATGGGTTCATTTATTTTTACTTCCCTCCCCCCATTATTTGATAGTTCTTTTAAGAGTTGCGAGTTTTACTTGGTTCCTTTTGATCAGAGGGAAAAGGTACTGCAGGAACTGAGGTGCTGCAGTGACTCTGGCTTTGAACTCACCAGGTCTAAAAGCCTGCAAGAACATTTTCTCTTTCAGCTTTCCAGCCAGCTCATAGAGCTAGCTGGCTGATAAAGGGCTCTGTTAAATTGTCCTGAAGGACAGCTAGAGAGCTGGGTGCTGTAGCCTGAGCTCACAATGGAATTGATACACGTATATATTTAGTTTAACCATATTAAAACATAAGCGGCAGGCTTGAGAGGTGTGTGTATATATATACTTAACTTCAAGCAGTTCAATCCTTTCTGTGTTTTAAAAAAAGTTTATTTTTCATTCTCATGCTTGCAGAGGTGCCGTCTCCTACAAATGCTGCAGCTCCATCTAGTGGCACTGCAGGCAGTTGGCGGGGAGGAGGCAAATCTGAGAAATTCAGACCCTGAAGGAAGGTGTTAGGATTCAAATTTGTGTTTTTGGGAAAGTTATGTGGGATTTTATGGGTATCTGGGCCTACTGGAGCACTGTTTGGAATGGAAAGTATTTAGATAACTGTCGTTTGGAGAAATGAGTTGATCAGAGAAGGCCATCTATTTCTCTTTGTTATTTTCCCTTGCCCAAGTAGCCACAGACATAAAGATGTGAATTGCTGATAAAAGAAGGTTGTGTATTTTAAACTGTGTGTGTATGTATGACCATGAGGTCCTTGTAAAAGTAGTTTTATCTGAGTTTCTTAAAACATCTGGAAAACATCTATTAAGCATCAAAACACCCATATCTGTTTGCTTCATTCATTCATCTGTCTGTCCATCCATCCACAGTATACAGAGATTGTGTGCTTGTTTATATGGGCAGTAGACATTATTCTGCTCTCAGTTATGGTGCAACAATTTATTTCCGTGTAGTTACTCTCAACTATCACTGCCTTGATGTGAAATTTGTGTCTTGTGTATCTGTATATGCAGCAAATTCTCACTCGCAGGGTGTGATGAACATATGTTGCAATGTGATCTTAATGCAAACAACAGGTTGGTTCTTTGGGGTTCTCACCTTATCCAGATGGGAGCTCGCATTCAGTGTTTTACACCATTACATCCATGTTTAGTTTTTCAACACATCTAGCTCTTGCCTTTGATCTAATAAGAAAATAAACATTCTTGATTTGATTTGCTCAGCTGCTGTCTGAGCCACAAAACCTTTCTAGATTCCAGCTTGTGACCTGAGCTGGACTCCCATGCCTCTCGTACGTAACTGTTGAATTCAGTAAATGTATTTAGCCTTATTAAGATTCAGAAAAGCAAATATTATCCTCTAGTGATGCTGCAGATAACAGCAGTTAATAACAAGTATGTGATAAAGATCACAGGATTCCCTGTAAACAAGATGCTGCATTGCACAGAGAGCATCTTGTCTGCATATGTTTCATAAGTAACTAGGCATCCTCATGGGCTTCTTTAGTTATTTTAGAAAGTTGTGTAAACAGCATTATCTACTTAATGCCCCAAATGATATAATAATTGATATGGAAATGGGGCAAAGCTCAATAGATTGTAGTACAATTCTCTGTGGACTCTCGGAGATGCTCTGCCCGGATTTTATTTAAATTTTATTCTGGCTTGTGTGTATGCAATCTGTGGTTTGTTAAATATGCTGGCCAGATGTTGGGCAACATTTTCTTTTTTTGACCTTTCAGGGGGGAAAAAAAAAAGAAATGTGAATGTGTACTTGGATTGTTATCTTCTGTATACTTCAGAGCAAAGTGTCAGTAACAGTGAGAAGAGTAAGAGCATACTGGAAAACTCTGGTGCATTGTGTGCTGTTTGCTTCTGCTGAATGGCAGGGGAAGCGGATCATCGTGGATTGCTAACAGCTCTGATACTCTCTACTGCTTGTCTCTTCTGGTTTAGATTACAGGAGCAAGGAAAAGAAATACTGGAGATTTAGGAATTGCTTAAAACTGGAAAGTGTGTTTGAGAATATTTTCTGTTCCTTCCTGTTGAAAATTATTATTTACACTTTATATATTCTATATGCTACATATGCATGATTAAAAACACATAAGTTTTTCTCTTTTGCTACTTTTAAAAAGCAGCAGATAAAATATTTTACTATTCACCTATTACATCTTTTAATATATCACTCGGATTTCCTCAAGTATTTCTGTCACTGACATCTTGTGCAATTGTCTCATGGATAAAGCTGTGTTGTTGACCTCCAAGCTGAACTTAAGAACATGCAATGGAGGCATGTGTCTGTTCTGCAAAACTGTACAGCCTGTAATGCTTGGCCATTTATCCAGACAAGCAGTGTGGTCTCCAGACCACTAAATGAGACTTGGAGAAAATCACTTCTCTTATTTGCACCACAATTCCCCAGGCTGTAAAATGGGGAGAATGATATATTGGAATAAAATATAAGTAAAACATAACTTAATAGAAGAGGGCAAAGCAATACCATTATTCGCTGCCATGCCAACAAAAATTGGTTAGCTGTAGATCAATTAATCCTACAGAGATGGAAACTTACAGCATTACCACCCGTTAAGGCTAAGCAAGATTTTTCTGATGCGCTGCTTTCCTGGTACTCAGCCTAGCTGAACAACATGCAGTGCTGCAAACAGTGAGGGGTGGGGGACAGTAAAAGTGGGAAAATATTTCTTGCTGTAGTTTTGGTCTTTCACCACATAACTGCTGTGGAGGTGGAGCAGAGTCATGGCTGTGTTCCCTTCCTGCCTCAGCTCCAACCTGCTTGAGCATGGCGCAGGCATGCTGCTGTTGTCATGGCTTTGTCACTGATTCAGACAGGATCCCATAAGAAGGTGCTACCTTTGGTCCATTTTAACTCTGGTATGGTGTATTCTGGGAAGATCAGCCTTTGAATCTCTTAATTACTCCCAATTCTCATACTTTTGATACAACTAGAAAAATATATGTTAAATAATGTAAATAATACACACACTTTGAGTTTGATCACTAGCTGTTAAAAACTACTTAAAATATTAACTTTCCATTCTAGGCCCTGCTATTATTCTGTATTTTTTCCAACCCGTTATTCTTGTAACAATGCACAACAGTGTTTTTCAGGTTCGGTACATTTTCAATTAGCTGATTTTTTTTTTTTATACACCTGGGAGGCAACTTAATACAGTTATTTCTAATTTACAGACAATGTAGTGGGACTTTTGTTCCTGGATTACAGGTCTAGAAGTACGCAGGGAACTACGTTCTGTAGAAAATAATGAGCTGTGCTAGCATGACCTGCTAATTGTGTTATGATAATCTGTTTTCCATACTGCTCCTAGTGTATAGGAAATATGTGAAGCAGCTAAATACAAATGTTTTCAGCTGTTAGAAAGCTTTCCCAAAAGCATTAGAGGCAAGTGTAGCTGTCAGATACAGTGATGGGGTCCCTCAAGAAATTAATGTAATATTCCAGAGCCACTGAAACAGTGCCTGTTACCAGTTGGGCAGTTACCGAGGCAGTGCCCAATTTACATAAACCTCTGAAAGACAACAGAGAAGCACGTGCTTTGGATAGATTGTCCATTAGCCACGTGTCTCACAGCTTGATAATTAGAATTAAATACTGCCATTCTTTAGCCAGATGAATAGCACCCTTCCGTAATAGGAAGGAAGTACAGGTATATTGAATGGGTATGAATTTTGCATTCGGGTCTGAGCTGCACTTGGAGATTGCTTCAAACAAGGATGCACCTTCTGCCACATCTGATGGAGTGATTCAGTAGTATTTCTCACTCCTGCTAGGGTTGATTGTTAACCTTCCCTCCAGTCCTCCCTCCAGAGATATTAACTTGGGTAGGATTCAGCGTTCTCAGAAATGGCAAAGTGCTGCTTGATTGGGCTTCACCTGGAGGAGGAAAAGCCTACAGTAAGTGTCCAAAGATGCATCCTTTAGGTTGCATTGACTGAAAAGATATTTTTCTTCTTGAAATGAAGTAATTTTCCCATAAGCAAGCAATACTGGTGATTCTGCAGCTTTACTGCTTTGTTCATGGTATTTTCCTGACTGTCCACACAAAATGGGTTATATTCAAAACACTATCAAAATTAGCAAACTATACAAAACTTTTTGTTACACGTTTATTTCCAGAAGTCTTAATAAGCTTATGTCTAGAGTAAATATAAAATTTCCCAGCGTGTTGAGAAATACTTGATATTTTTTTTCCCTATGAAAGTTATGTTATCTTAACAGGTAATTTCCAATTATTACTCTTTCAAGATATTGTGTTCAGGAAAAGGAGCAGGCAGCTTTGCACTTTAGAGAAATTGCTTCTTATATTCATTTTACATATTCCCGAACTGCAAGCTCTTTCAGGGAGAAAACACGTACGGGATCTTTTTTTGCCTTCCATTCTTCCAGTTTCTCTTGCAAAGACAGAAAGTCCTTGCCGAGCTCATATGCCAAAGTGATCATTGCTTCTAACAATGGAATGTAGTACTTGTGACTGCTACGCATGCACAGGTGTGACAGAGCCTTTTCCCCATATTCAAAGGCACTTGCTGCATTTCCCAGGTCCTTGTGGCACACCACGACAGCACAGAGGGTAGGGACAGTTGCAACAGGGTTGCCTCTGGTCAGCCTCTCCTGCAGACCGATGACTTCTAACAGGATTTCCAAAGCCTTGTTGTACTGGCCACCCCGCAGGCAGCCGTATGCTTCCTGAAGCTCAGGCTTTGTTAAAAAGTCAATAAATTTTTTTGATCTCCTGATATATTTCATTGAATACAGAAGCCTCAGGTAGTCCTTAAAGGCCAATTTTCTCTCATTGATTATTTCGTCTGTGAAGTTCCCTGTTAGGGCTTTTTTTGGAAAGGTCATATCTTCCATTTCCTCGCTGAAGTCCTCCAGAAGATTTCTGTGCAGTTTCTCAAAATCAGAATAACGCCGTTCGATTACAGACTTGCTGCTGTCAAAGCTTCCAGTTTGCAAAATTATGATTTTATACATCTAAACACAACAAAACAGAAAAATGAGAAGGACCATCCTAACCCTACTGCAGCCACATCTTTTTGTACAAATACTTTGCTTGTAACAGCCGTGGCTGCTGCAGTCATTGTCAGCGAACAGAATGAATTTCCCAGACTTAGTAGTGAATGCGGTGTAATTTACATTGGCCATAATACTCAGAAATGTTTATATCAGACATTTCTAGGGATTTGGAGGCATTATTGGTGCTGTGAAAGAAGGAATATTTGGCATTAATATTTGGTGTATGCAAAAATAAGATAGAGCAACTGTGGAGTCTCTTCTCCCCTCTAAATCTTTGTCCTGTAATTCATACTTACTTGGCATATAAATAATTCAAAGAAGTGACACTTCTACAGAAGTCTGTATGTGCTAGCCAAAATCCTTGTCTAACAGCAGCACTGTCCCACATTACCAGTACTCAATTGTATGGCTTCTGTAGTTCTTCACTAGCGTAAAATAACTAATGAAAGTAAAATAACTAATGAATATGATATTCAAAATAGCTGCAAAATAACATTGAGTGTTATGTGTTGTACAAATATATTCTCCTGTGGTCCTGATCCAAATACAGCAATACTGAAGAAGGGCCAAATATCTGGTATGTGTAAACCAGTGGAGCTCCAGGGGGGCCGGTTTAGCTGTGTCCCTGTGCACCAGCCAAGGGCAAGGACTGTTGGCTCGCTAGCTTTTGGATGATGACCGTGTTCGCATTCAAGTTTCTCCCATTCTCACTGAATTATACAGCAACTGGAGCAGTTTAATGCACACGAGTTGTTTTCTGTGCTGGTATAGGAGGGTGCAAAACTGTACTAGCAATGGCTTCTTTCTGATTCTATTCCTTGTTTTTTTTTTTTTTTTTTCTTAAAGAGAAATTCTCTGTTTTAATCTTCATAAATGATCTTTACAGGCACTTCTTGAAAGGCTTGTAAATTTGAGCTGACTTCTCTGATCTCTTTTCATTTATAGGCACTGTGACATTTTCCTGTATTTTGCCCTGCTCCCTGCTGAAAAGTGTATATACTCTTGAAGCGTATCCAAAGCAATCATATGAGCAGTTTTTAAAGTTATCATTTTATCAAGGGCAGCTAAGTGAATAATTTACAAGTACTTGATATTTTTTTTTTTTGTCTTTATGGAGCATGAGAAAGGGGAGAAATGATGTTTAATTAAACTGTCATTCAGATTGGCTCAATTTTGTTGTAACGTAGCTGTGTTTAACTACCTGCATGTACACCAAGTGATAACCTTGTCCTCTTACAGCTGTACTAAAATATTTTTAATCAGTAAGCTGGGTACTCTCCAGCGTGTGCTAGACAGTAGCATCTAAATAGGTGTGTATAGCATGCAACAAGATCCTAGGATAGTTTCTAGACTGTAAATGTACCTGCTTTAAATACTGAGCTGCATCAGTAACAGCAGAATGACTATTAGCATTTTTAATTTATAGATCCTAGAGGTTGCTGCAAAACATCCCTTTCTGAGTATCACCAACCAGGGTACTGAAAGAGACCTGCTCTAGCTCTCCACAAGTCCAGGAGTAGAATTAGGAAAAAAAAAAAAAAAACAAGTCTCAGTGCTTTGAGGAAAAGAGCAGAAATCCAACCTGTTCTTCATTCCTGCCCCTCACACTCGTGCTTCACTTTAACATGGAATAGAAAAATGTCATTTAATGGACCTCTGGGTAGGGAAGGGGAACAGTCCCAGAGGAGTGCTAGCTGGTGCATGTCTTAAGCTTTGTCAACAGCAAAGAATTTTGCACTTGTGCTAACATAAATCTTCAATGTGGAAGTTATATAAATATAATGCAGCTGTTAGTGCAGCCTGGCTCAGTGCAAGTGTAACCTCATGGATATTTTTATACTTGTATGAATTTCTTTAATATTGACAAGCCTATAGGTGTGAAGGGTATTTGAGTAATTTGCTTGATAGCACTTCTCTACTGCTGCAGGTCTTATGAAGCAATTGTCAGAGGGTTTTTTAGGGGCAGATCCACCAGCTATGCCTATGTGAACAGTGAGAACAGGTTCTACTTGGTAGGATTACGGCTTGCAAAACTCAGACGTCAGTGAGTCTTTCATGTAGTGAAGCATGCTGTGTGCTGTGCAGATCCCTGTAGAGTGAATAAAAATTAATGATCTTCTTACATATTCATTTTTTCACTTACCACGTATTTAGACAAGTGGTGCTCTACAATTCTGGTTGATGGAATTTCAAATAGGAGCTTGACCTGTCTACACTGGCTTTTTTCATTCCTCCAGTATTCCTGAAGCTCCTTAGTCGTCATTGAAGAGTTGGGATGTAGGGATGCTTTGGAATCTAAAAATGATATATTTAGTATTTCAAATTATACTGTGTGTGGAAGGAAACCTTTTACACGTTTATTGTGAAAGCAGAGCTTGGAATTTCTTCATTGTAAAAGCAAAACCTAGAGCATGATAGATTAAATGATTTCTCTGCTAACAAAGACAGCTCCAGATGCTCTGAGGAAAACTGTAGTGCTCTGGAATTGGAAAGACAATAAATTTGCTGTAATGTGTACATTTGTTATTATGGAAAAGCATTGATAAGAAGCATTGTATGTCCAGGCTGTAACCTCTGGCACAGTCTGAGCAGGAGGTACACCTCCCCATTCTATAAGCAGCCCCACCAAACCCGGACTTGCTCTTCTGAGTCAGGTTCTTCTTCAGGGTAGGAGGAGACAAGGCTAAGATGTTTCTATCGTTGCTAAGGTGAGGAGATAATACAAAGCAGATGCAAATTCAGACTAGTGTTGAAATACTGACCATATTCAAATACTGGGACCGTGCAGTAAGAGGCTAAAGCTGAGAGAGAATGAAGAGGGTGTACAGTGATAGGACAAGGGGGAAATGGTTTTAAACTGAGACGGGAGATTTAGGTTAGGTATTAGGAGGAAGTTTTTCACCCAGAGGGTGGTGAGGCACTGGAACAGGTTGCCCAAGGAGGCTGTGGATGCCCCATCCCTGGAGGCATTCAAGGCCAGGCTGGATGTGGCTCCGGGCAGGCTGGTCTGCTGGCTGGTGACCCTGCACATAGTGGGGGGGGTTGAAAGTACATGAGCATTGTGGTCCTTTTCCAGGCCGTTCAATGATTGAAGGAGAAACTCAAGTAATCAGCTCAGATGAAGAAGGAATTCTCACATCCTCCTTTTCTTTTGTAGCTGAAGTGATGCCACAGTGATATTTATTTGCGCACCTCCCTCACCACCCACGTACAGTCACAATCACGCAAAAAGTCCCCTAAAAACATAGGTCAGCTGGTTTAAGTGTTTGCTCATGGGGGAATTTGACATAGCTTTCCAAAAGGGTGATTTCTCTGTCTTTGAAATATGGTGACAACAGTTTTCATGAGGTGGCATAGAGGCTAGCAAAGTGGGTAAAAAAATGGTGTATTTGTATTTCAGTGGGCTCATCATTCTCAGTCTTCTGTCAGCAATGTTTCTGTCAATGCGGTCAGCTGAAGTCTTATCCAGCATTCAGACAATGGAAGTGAATGACCACAGATGAGTGGAAGGATAAGTGCTTGATGCAGAGATAGAAACATAAAGTACTTCCTCAGTGGCCCCATTTTTACATGTTGTTAATCGTTTGGTCATACAGTTTCAATTATCAGTGCCTTTGGGGTTTGGCTCACTCTACAAAGCATAATTTATTAGAAAGAGGTGCTGTTTATAACAGTTTTACAGGCTGAAAATCTTGATGAAATTGTATATGTTATGTTTATATTTAATATTTTATTCAATAACATATGACAGTAATGTTTGGCATAGTAAAAGCCTAGTGCTGCTTCTTCACAGGGTGTGTTAGAGACTACTGCCTCAGGTTCATATCAGTCAAGTGCCTGGTGTCCCTGCTGATACTACTTTACTATTGTAGTAAATAAAGCAATTTATTTTTTTTTAATATAAAGGATTAATAGCTACGTGAAGAATAAAATGAAAGAGTGGTATCTACCTTGGTCCTTGGAACCTTTGTCTTTTTCTGGATTTTCTTTGCTCAGTTCACAAGAAACTTCAGCTTTGGGTTGACTTTGTTCTTCGTCAGGAGGAGCTGTGATAGAAAACGTAGCGATTGTACTTGCAGCTTCCAGCAGCTCCCCTTCTGCTGTGCACTCTGGGTCCTGCTCCATTGCAAAGCTGTCACAAAAAATTATAAGAAATGTGACATTACTTAGTGACATGCCGTTAGAAGATCCAGTCTGGTAATCTTTTTTACTGGCTTGCTCATTGCTCCCTGTGAACAAGTATGAAGGCAACCGTTGTTTTATGGAAAGTAAAGGGAACCACTGAAGAACATAACTTCATTGGGAGGTGATTTATTCTTCTTGTATTTTGCCCTCAACCTCACAAGTGTTAGTTCAGATGAACTCTGAGATTATTAGCATCACTACCAGCTTGGCTCTCTTACATTGCTAGAAGTTACTGTTCTAAAGACTCCCAAACTTGCCATCTGTTCTTAATCATTATGTTGGCCCATAAGGCAAAATAAAGTGATATCTGTAACAGTATAATATTTTAATTTTATTTCATAGTTTCAGGTTCTCTCCAGAGATTTGTCACTACATGTTGAGAATAAAGTGAGCCTGATAATGCCTTGTTGGAAGGTGATTGGAGTTTACTATGCACGGCATTTAGTCCATACGCTGTGCTGCTGATAGGTTTGTAGGTCTGTCCTCCTTGGACAGATGTTTTGCCAGATACTCATAAAATGCTTAACAAAATATACCCCTACTCTGTAGAGTGGACTGGTTATTCTGCCATGTAAATGTCCCCTTAAGATGTTGTTGTTCAGTAACTATTTAAAACATCATTGTGTTCTACTAGCAGTTGAGAATGTTTTAAGAGCATCCTAACAACTCTGCCAGGGGGCTGTGCTTGGTTAGTATGAGGGAGATATTCTTCATAGTTTATCCAGTGGGTGGAAATCAAATAACATGAAAACCTGCTCTAAACGAATCTGAGTTTCCTTGCTAGAAATGTAAAAATAATGCACAAGGAGAGGTTATTAAGCAAGGCAGGCAGAGGTGTTACTACATATTGTTTTGCCACCACTTGTCTTCCACACAGTTGAGCAATGCCTGACACAGAGGTGAGGAAACTCCTTCAGCAGACCTATTGATTTCTGGTAAACTATACAAGGAAAAGCAATTACTTTCCCTGCTGGAAATAACAGAAGTGCTTTCCTCTAACAACAGCCTTTCTTTTGCTTGCCTTGGCTATACAAGAACGTACACATTGTTACTCTCGTTATTAAGAGAACCGTGAAAGCCCTTATTTTTGGAATTTGGACTAGGGGATGAAGTCTCTTCAAACTTGATGAGTAGCCAGTTATTTCCAGTTGTGACAGTTTCTACCAAGAGTATAAACTTTCCAATCTTTGTTTTTCACGTAAGTATAATCTCAGATACACCAGATTGAATCAGAAAAATTTTCTTGCTTGCGAGTTTGTCTAACCTGACAAGCAAGAGTGTATTTATATTCAAGTATACATATTTACATATATGTATATTTAATGTTAAATATATATGTGCGTACATGTATAAACATAAGTGTAAAATATGATTCCTCAGAGAAATGCAATGATTTGCAAGACTTCAAGTATCTGCCTTGAAAACTATTTGTACTTCACAGAAACATTTTGTTTCACTTTCACACCTGCAAGTCACCGTAAGCAGTTTTAGCTAAACAACTATTTTTACACTTAAAAAAAGAAAAGAAAAATGGAAAACAATTCAAGGAAGTGCGCAGCAAATTGCAGAGTTTTACTTTGACCAGACACCGGGCCTGCTCTCTGTCAGAGTAAACACCACTCAAACTGAGTTACAAGTAACAGCAGAAACAGAAGTGCACAGAATGCTCACCTGCAAAACGCTGAGGAGGTTTTAGCTGTGGTGTGTGCGTAGTCCATAGGAAGTCAGGAGAGGCCTGCTTTGCATTTTTAAAAACAGACTAATACGTGTGTGTGTGCTTTGAGCAGGCACATTCTGTGTGTTACAGAAAGGAAGGAAGAAGTCTTGATTAAATCAGACTTCCTCATCCAATTGGCTTGCTGTTTTGGTGCATTAAGTTTCCTATCTGCCTCAAACAGCTCGGCTGCTGTCTGCAGACAAGATGCAGCAATGCAGCTCCAGCCACAAGGGCAGGACTGCAAATCCCAGTCAGTTGTACACGTGCAAACATAAAGCGTGGCAGAGGAAAGCGCTGAACAGTCAATGCAATTACAAAATCAATGGAAACGTGTCCGCATGGATTTCTGAAACCAAAAAACCCCACGCTTAGCAAATAAGAGATTAGGAAAAATGAGTCAAATATGTAAATGCACTTATGTGGAAAAATATGCCCTGTAGGACTCTTTAAAGTAGAGACTTAACATCCAGTTCAGGAAAGAACATGCAGATGGTACCACAATAAATAGCCTTGTTCAATGTAAAATTGCACTTCTGACAGAAATCCTGATTCCACACAGTGCTTAAATATATGATTAATTTCAAATATCTGCTTAATTGAAGTTCAAAAAGGAACATTATCATATTTGACGTGACTACTAAACTTGAAATGAACTTGTGTGCGCCTAAAATTAATCCTGTACTTCAGCTCTTTATTGAGCTGAGGACAAAGCGAAGAAGAATGATGCATTAATCCACACATCCACTGGCCGAGATGCTTCCTATTGTAGTTCACTGTGCTTTGGAAATTTGCTTTAAAGCACTGAGATAACTATTTCTGGGGTAAGTAGTGTGGATGCTATCTCTTTAGTAATGTAAGTTTCCCTGTTGCCAAAGCTCACTCAATGAAAAACCAAGAGATTTTAATGCAGCACAAATGTGGGAGGCAAGCATCCAAAGAACCACATGGATCCTGCCCCACGCATTCCTTTAGAACAAACAATTTCAAATAATGTAAGATCAGGGCCAGAAACTGACAATGTCTTTCTTCAGCTTTATTCACAACATAAAACGATGCCAACTTTAACTTGGACTCTGTCTAAATGTAGACATTTTGCCAAAATAGTTGTCAGAATGATGAAAAATCACTCCTATGCAACTCCAGCCATACTGGCAAAACCCTTAATATAAGGGACTGGCAGAGTCCTTCAGCCCATTTAATGTGATCCATGCAGAAAGTGATTTAAATTATAGCAGAAAAGAAATGTGTGCTTGCCAATACAGCTCTAAGGTGTAGCTGTACCAGCCAAAGCTTTTAAGTGTAGACAAGGCATGGGTTTCTGGCTCGAGTCTCGTTCCTTTAAAGTTAGATTTACGGGTTTGGTTACAATTGTGAATGAAATCCAAGGAGGATTTTGGTACATTTCACTCATGCTGACAGTTCACAGACGTATCTGAGCTTTGAATTCTGAATTTGCTACTTCATGTGTTGCCAGAAAACAGTGTATTACTTTGTGGTGCTTCATGCTCTTGTCCTGGTCTTGAAGCCGAAGGAAAAGGAGAAAGTATATTTTTCACTTAATTAAACATAAAGGTCATTATTAATAATTTCAGAGTGAGTACCTCCTAGTTTTTTTAATCATCCAGGATAATTAGATGTGAAATCTGCAATTATGAGCATGACTGAGTGATACGAAATAGCTTATAAATCAAGGGTGTTCTGCAGGAATTCTGCCTGCCTTGGCAGCATAAGCTATTCTGTTTACATCTGGTTCCTGAAGGGTGGGTAGGAAGCATCCCCAGGACCACTGCTAACCCCATTGGCTGTGACATCCGTGTTACCTGGCTGCTGCTCCCGTACTCTCTGGCTTGTTCCAGGCAACCCTTAGCCCTTCACCAGGACCAACTGTTGTTTGTCTAGCAGTGTTTTACTTTTCTTTTACTTTACTTTTGAATGTCTGCTTGATTAGCACATTCAAAAAAAAAAAAATCTACGTCATACGGTAGGGTTTGTTAGCAGAGTGCGTAACTGATAGCTCTTGCTTTGTACTTTCAGTTTCACTTTCAGCAGTCAAATATAAAAGATTAAGCAGCAGCAAAGGGGAATGTTCACAGGAGCAGCATACCATTCTGAGACGAGCAAGTGCTCTTACGTTCTAAATTAATCTGAGTATTCATAAAACGATGGTAAATTTTAATGAAAAAATGTACTGTGTCACATTCAGTGGTGAAAAAAGGATGCTTATGCATTGGCTTACTCAGAGTTTGCATTCTGCACAAGCACTGACTTTGGCTGGCATACATAAAGGCCACAGTATTAAATGCATTTACTGAGGGATATAGAAAAAAATATTCTGCAGTAACATAGGAGCTAGGTGAGGTTAAAGTTGTAATACTGCAGTTTATAGAAGTGGTTGTCATAGGAGTTATGTCCTTCATACATATTTAAGAGGAAAGGACCCATTTTAGAAAGAGCTGCCTAAAACTCGTTAATTAGCCACCAGATGAGCTAGCCTTGTGATGGCATGTTAAGGATGCCTTTAGGGAAAGACCAGTGTTTGTGCTTTTGATGGTTAAAGAATCAGAAGGGACTGCTACAACAGTGTTATATGTCGTGCCTTGATTTGGGCAGCTAACGTTTTCCCAATCTCATAGTTACAAAAACCCCAACAGAGAAAATACTTTAAAACTCATATTAGCTTGAAAAATGATCAGATAGACCACCATCACATAGGAACTGCAGTTTACTACCGGGTTTTTCCTGTTACAGCGGGCATTGCAAACTCCTATTTGAGTTAAATATGGCTGTAATACCCAATTACAAAACCTCTTCAGCTCCAGCCCTGTGAAATACAGCTTCAGATGACCTCCTAGGGCTTGTGCTGCTTTCTGCTCTCAGACTCCAAGCTATGTGACTAATCCTTATTTATTTTAGCAAATAATTCATTAGAACTGCAGGTAATGAAAAATACCAAGAGGGGGCAGAAATACCCCACATATTTGTCCAAGTCCTCTTCTACCATACAACTAATATTTAGAAAGTGCTGTGATGTTGACTTTTATGCTTTTACTGCAGCTGCATACTTACCGTTTCCATGTTTGAAGTGGAAATAATCATATGTTCTGCATGAATATTCAGCACTTCTGGGTACTGATAAATGTATAGCAAACTACTGTCCTGGCACAGCACAAAATACTGTTCCATGATATTTATATAATGTTTAATTGTATGCTGGTGTGTCTTCTGAAAATGGGATTTGTTTACGATACTTCATTATTACAGAAAGTTTTTACCAAGAGTGCCATTTTAAAAAAATATTGTGCTGCTTAATGGCAAATATATTGTGTTGGTGTTACAGACAGGGCTTGTAACATGAAAGAGATGCAACAGGCCCATTTTGCGCTGCCAAAGTCCTGCTATCACTTTACAGCTCTTTCATACTTCTAAAGGAGCTGCAGAGTAACAGGCTTGGGCTGCCTTCCAGCTGTGCTCTGTCAGTGGCACGGAGCTGCAGCGCACGCCCGGCGGCTCTATGTGATGTTAACATGGGATATTAGCATGGGTTACATCTCAGGGCACTTCTGTCTGTGCACAATGACAGGCTTCCTAAATGGTGTGTACACGTTGGTCATTTTCCCTGCTGATAACACTGAGAGCCGAGTACATAATCACATAAGCACGTAATTACATGGACTAGATAAGCATTTTTAAATATTTGCTTTTCAGCTGCTGGATATGCCGTGTAGAGTCATTCCTGGCTCGTATTTTGTTATCTAACTCTTCCAACGTGTCTGTCGGCTTTTTTTTTTTTTTTTGTCGGCACGGCGTTAGTGCTTACAGTCGCGTTCCACGTGTGGTTTATTTATAGCCGAATGTAAACATGACAGCCTTTGGGCTAACAGGATTTCAGCACACACGGGTTTGTAGGCGCGGTGTGAAAGGCAGCAAAGCGCAGCTAGAGATAGCCACCTGGAGGCTTAGCATAGCATAGCCCGCTTTGCAGCTACGGGAACGAGGCGGACCGCTTAAATCTTACTGTACTTTCTCTGCTGTTTATTGGTTATAAATTAAGCAACGTTGAGAGGGAATCCTGCCGTTCAGTGCCCACAGTGCGGTCAGCAGCTGTGCCGGGAGCCGCGGGCAGTGCGATGGGACGGGGCTCGGCGCCCGCTCGTTCCTGCAGCACTGCTCGCCCCGAGCGCCACCGCCGGCTGGACTCAGCACAGCCGCGCTCAGAGACCGCGTGCTGAGACGTTGGGCTGCGGACGAGCTGCAGCTGGCTTCGCGAAACCCCATATCAGCGCCGTTTCGCGCACCTGTGCGAAACCGCTGGCAGCGCGTCGGCACGCACCGCCATCGCGACAGAAACGGCTGCGGCCCACGCCAATGGGCAGGCAGCGAGCACGGGCGTCACCCAATCAGCTCCCCCGCAGTTCCCGAAGTGCGGCCCGCTCCCGCCTCGCGCTCCGCGCAGCCAATCGGCGCCCTCACAAAGGCCGCCCGCCTCTTCCTCTCCTCCCCGAACCTTCCTCTGCGGCTCACACAACCTTGACTACGTAGAAACCTCGAGTCGGCCCGTCACCGGGCGGCGCTCTCCGCCAATGACGTCGCGAAGCGGCCGTGTCGCCGCTCCCTGATTGGCTGCGTGGGGTCAGGAGGGCGGGCCCGGCGGAGAGGCAGGCTGCGTTTCGGTGGCGGAGCCGCGGTGCGCCGAAGATGGGACCGTGAGGCGGGCACGAGCAGGTGAGGAGGCGCGCGTCGTCGGGCTCCCTCAGGTACTCTCAGGTATCCTCAGGTAGGGGTGGCCCTCGCCGGGGCCCGGCCGCTCCGCTCGAGCGCTCCCGGCTGCGCAGCGTCCACCCTCAGGCCCTTCCCGCGGCCCACGGAGCGCTTCGAGGCCGCCTCGCCCGACTCGGGCCCGGGAGCGGGCGTTGTGCCGAGCGCTTGGCTCTGTGCCGCGGCCGGTAGGGCGAAGCACGGTTGGGGCCGCGCCGCGGAGCCGCGGCGGTGCTGCCGAGTCTGGGTGGGAGGGGCGGCCTTGGAGGCAGCAGCGCCGGGGCTTTCCGCCGGTTACCGGCTGGGCTCGTTCTTCCTCCTGGGCGGAGCG